TGACTTCCTGAAGCTCATCCTCGCATGAGCAGCACAGTTGTGCCAGAGCACACTAACTGCACAATACACTTTGGGGGGGAGTTTGGAGTGGAGGCTGGAGCAGTAAGTACCCCTTCATTACCAGCAGGGCTGGTACAAGGGGTGGGCAAGATGGATAGCTGTCCACACGCAAGCGACAGATCAGTGGCTAGCAACCAGGACAGCCCACTCTGCAACCCATCTGCCCACAGCTAATACAAAAACACACTGTGCACGTGCAACTGCCTTCAAGCCACAAGAAAGCAAGAGGTTGGCCATGCACACTGCATGCTAACCATTGGCAGTAGTAGTAAGGGGGGCAAAGAATGGGTACAAGGTGGTACACCCATTCTATGAATGCATTAGGAGGGGGTGCAGTTCCGCATCCTTGCCCTAGGCACTGGATGGACTTGTCCCGGTACTCATTACCAATTTGGTTTTTCATAAAAAAGATACCCCAAGTCAAATTAGTCCTTCTTGTTTGATTTAACCACACCTAATAAAGCATGGTTCTTCTCGATTGACCTAGTAAATTTCTCCCTGGGTTGACATCTCTGATACTTTGATGACTGGAAACTGAGGGGTTAACCCACACATTCTGGAATATGACCAACAACTGGGTTCACACTTGACCAGCTAGAGCAGTGGTTCTCAACCTTTCTAATGCCGCGACCCCTTAATACAGTTCCTCATGTTGTGGTGACCCCCAACCATAAAATTATTTTCGTTGCTACTTCATAACTGTAATTTTGCAGTGGGAGGACTAGTGCCACATCATTGGTGTCAGTGAGAGGAATAGTGTCCCATCATTGGTGTCAGTGGGAGGAATAGTGTCCCATCATTGGTGTCAGTGGGAGGAGTAGTGCCACGTCATTGGTGTAAGTGAGAGGAATAGTGCCCCATCATTGGTATCAGTGGAGGAATAGTGCTCCATCATTGGTGTCAGTGAGAGGAATAGTGTCCCATCATTGGTATCAGTGGTAGGAATAGTGCCCCATCATTGGTGTCAGTGGTGGGAATAGTGCCCCATCATTGGTGTCAGTGGGGGGAATAGTGCCCCATCATTGGTGTCAGTGGGAGGAATAGTGTCCCATCATTGGTGTCAGTGGGAGGAGTAGTGCCACGTCATTGGTGTCAGTGGGAGGAGTAGTGCCACGTCATTGGTGTAAGTGAGAGGAATAGTGCCCCATCATTGGTATCAGTGGAGGAATAGTGCTCCATCATTGGTGTCAGTGAGAGGAATAGTGTCCCATCATTGGTATCAGTGGAGGAATAGTGCTCCATCATTGGTGTCAGTGAGAGGAATAGTGCCCCATTATTGGTATCAGTGGTAGGAATAGTGCCCCATCATTGGTGTCAGTGGTAGGAATAGTGCCCCATCATTGGTGTCAGTGGTAGGAATAGTGCCCCCATCATTGGTGTCAGTGGGAGGAATAGTGCCCCGTCATTGGTGTCAGTGGGAGGAATAGTGCCCCGTCAGAGGTGTCAGTGGGGGGAATAGTGCCCCGTCATTGGTGTCAGTGGGAGGAATAGTGCCCCGTCATTGGTGTCAGTGTGAGGAATACTGCCCCGTCATTGGTGTCAGTGGGAGGAATAGTGCCCCGTCATTGGTGTCAGTGGGAGGAATAGTGCCACGTCATTGGTGTCAGTGGGAGGAATAGTGCCACGTCATTGGTGTCAGTGGGGGGAATAGTGCCACGTCATTGGTGTCAGTGGGGGGAATAGTGCCCCGTCATTGGTGTCAGTGGGGGGATAGTGCCCCATCATTGGTGTCAGTGGGGGGAATAGTGCCCCATCATTGGTGTCAGTGGGAGGAATAGCGCCCCATCATTGGTGTCAGTGGGAGGAATAGCGCCCCATCATTGGTGTCAGTGGGAGGAATAGCGCCCCATCATTGGTGTCAGTGGGAGGAATAGTGCCCCATCACTGGTGTCAGTGGGAGGAATAGTGCCCCGTCATTGGTGTCAGTGGGAGGAATAGCGCCCCATCACTGGTGTCAGTGGGAGGAATAGCGCCCCATCGTTGGTATCAGGGGGAGGAATAGTGCCCCGTCATTGGTGTCAGTGGGAGGAATAGTGCCCCGTCATTGGTGTCAGTGGGAGGAATACTGCCCCGTCATTGGTGTCAGTGGGAGGAATAGTGCCCCGTCATTGGTGTCAGTGGGAGGAATAGTGCCACGTCATTGGTGTCAGTGGGAGGAATAGTGCCACGTCATTGGTGTCAGTGGGAGGAATAGTGCCACGTCATTGGTGTCAGTGGGAGGAATAGTGCCACGTCATTGGTGTCAGTGGGAGGAATAGTGCCACGTCATTGGTGTCAGTGGGGGGAATAGTGCCCCGTCATTGGTTTCAGTGGGGGGAATAGTGCCCCATCATTGGTGTCAGTGGGGGGAATAGCGCCCCATCATTGGTGTCAGTGGGAGGAATAGCGCCCCATCATTGGTGTCAGTGGGAGGAATAGCGCCCCATCATTGGTGTCAGTGGGAGGAATAGCGCCCCATCACTGGTGTCAGTGGGGGGAGGAATAGTGCCCCATCGTTTGTGTCAGTGGGGGGAGGAATAGTGCCCCATCGTTGGTGTCAGTGGGGGAGGAATAGTGCCCCATCGTTGGTGTCAGTGGGGGGAGGAATAGTGCCCCATCGTTGGTATTAGTGAATCCAATGATTGGGCACTATTCCTCCCACTGACACCAATGATACTTACCTTGCTGACCCCTGCTCCAGCCTGGGCTCGCTCGCTCCCTCCCTCTCCCATGGTACAGACACTTACCTGTCAGCTGTCTTCCTTCTCCGGCCGCTCTCCTCCTCTTCACCGGCTCGATCTTCGCGGTGCCGCTTGGCTCCTCCTCTCCAAGCTCCACCTCCTTTCGGGTGATTGGCTGCCTGTGTGCCTCTCCTGAGCTACAGTTCCGGCGGCCAATCACCGGCGAGGATTGATCCCGAGGGTGTGTCCAGATGACAGGGGCGGCATGTCATCCCGCCCACACCTGGAGACCGATAGAGCAGCGGAGTCTCGGTTCTTAAGGCCATCGGAAATATGTGTTTTCCGATGGTCTTAGGCGACCCCTGTGAAAGCGTCGTTCGACCCCCCAAAGGGGTCGCGACCCCCAGGTTGAGAATCGCTGAGCTAGAGGAACCTTTCTAGAAGCACTTTATTGCTCCACATGAGGATTCCTATTGTATCCTTTGGTGCACACTTGGGTGCCTGATGGAGAAATCATTTTTTCATTGATTGTGGCTCACTAAAATATAGGAATGCCTCCAAATCCTAGTTAAGGGGCCATACAAGGACATATAAAGATGGTTATCGTAGTTGACTTCATACTATAGGAATGTCATTACCAAGCCCTTCAGCAATGTATGCTATCTTCCTTAAAAGGTATTACTACTTTTGTTGAGGTATAATTGGTGGTTACTTACCCTCTAGCCCTGTATGTACCGCAGCTAAAACCGGAGTAAGGTAGTCCGGTCCCAGAGCTGCATTATGCAAACGTCTGGTTTGATGATCGTGCCAAGCCACAAGGCAGAGTCCTTGGCAAAAAGGCCATTACTGTATAGTTAGGTATTCTTGTTACATTTTGTATTATTACATTTGTTATCCTTACACTTTATCTGTCATTACTTCACTACTTTAGGATGCCCATCTGCATTGTACTGCGAATGGGTGACTTCTACAGGCACAGCAATGTACCTGTATGTCGCTCCCTGCTTCTGGGTTCAAGACGTGCATGTTTCCCTTTCCTCCCCTTCCTGTCGCCTTCCATTGTGATTAGACACAGCAGGATTTTATCACCATGTCCTGGGCAGTGATGCATGGCTGGGACCTGCTGATCGGCTGTATGCAATCACAACCCAGAGCCCTGTGTTGACAACCAGCACAGGACTCTGTACAGAAGAAATGATCTCTTTGTTTTTTCTCCCTTCACAGTAAGGAGAAGGAAGAAATAGATTTTTAGTAAAAAGCAGCACATAATACGCACATTACACTTGTTAGGCACACACCTAACCCCTTGATTTCCCCGAGATGTTGACCCCTTCCCAGACAGTGTCATTAGTACAGTGACAGTGTATAGTATTATTACTGATCACTGTATTAGTGTCATTGGTGATGTCAGTGTCAGTTCCCACCCAGTGTCAGATTGCCCGCCACACTATCACAGTCCCACTATAAGACGGTGATTACCATCATCACTAGTATAATAAATAAATAAATAAATAAATAAATAAATAAAAGTACACATGACATAGATTGTAGACACTACAACTTTCACACAAACCAATCAATATATACTTATTGGGATTTTTTTTTTTTTTACCAGACATGTAGCAGAATACCTTTTGGCCTAAATTTATGAAGATTTTTTTTTTTTTTTCATTTGATATGTTTTATAGCAGAAAGTAAAAAATATTGGGTTTTTTTGTTAAAAGTTTCAGTCTTTTTTTCATTTATATAATAAAAAACTACAACAAAAAAAAAGTTGTGATTAAATACCACAAAAAAGCTCTATTTGTGTGAAAAATACACATTCACTACCTCAATCTATCTCCACTCTATCCAAAACTAAGAAAGTTTGACCTTTTACTTTAAATGGATAAAACACTGGGAAAGGTGCATGTATTGTGGAGATATACTGCTTATTTTTTACATATACTTTAAATCCCAGACAGGAAATCTTCACCTGACAGCCCCCACAGCACTTTTTTTTCACAACGTCCTTGTTCGTATTTGTTCTTGGAAATTAAACATTTTAGTAAACCTTTAACAAATTCAGTAATTGCCCCACCCAGCGTCCTTTGGCTGACATTGTGTCAGTGCTATAAATATGGGAGCTCCGTAGACTGGTCCCAGAATATCTGGTCTACTCTGAACACCCATTGTGAGGAAGATGATGCTGACCTGGATTCTCACCTTGACCCTCCTTCACACCACATTGACCCATGGCTTAGAGATTTATGTAACCAATGGTGGTCCTTGGGGTGAATGGGGAATGATGCAATTCTGCCCATCTGGAACATCAGCAACGGGCTTTGATTTGAAGGTAAGTGATCCAAAAATTTCAGATTTGACTGAAAAAGAACCATGTGCCAGAATCTGAAGGTCCAGTCTTAAATTAGAACTGACTGCCACCTGTGTCCCATTGGGGAGATTTCCAACCCTGTAGTGAAAACACGAGGGGAAATCCCTCCAAAGTGAGTAGTCACCAGAACTAGTGTCACCAGAACTAGAGGATTTCTTCTCTATTCCTGTTCTGGTGACAACTCACCATCTGGGATTTAGCAATAGCAGGACAAATAGAGAGGGTGAATCTCTGTAACACTGGAACAGAGAACAGTAAGAAACCTAAATGATCAAAAAAATGTAAATATATAAATACGAGAAGCTAGCACTATTTTCAGGCAACAGACTACACTGTTAACCTCCCTAGCAGTCTGATTATGTCCATATTTCTGTGCTCAAAGCGGTACTTTTTTTGCATGGAAATATGTATTTTTTTTATTGTAGGCCTGTAATTTTTAGGAATAACTCACTGAAATCTATCCAAACAAGAGTCTAGTAAACATCCCGGGGAGGATAAAACTTGAAACACGAAATCATAAATTATAATTTAATAAATAATCATAAAAAATAATAATATAATAATAATACATTTAATTCAATAATATAATCAAACCAAAAAACACTGAAATGTGAAATATAGAGCCAAGTTCACACATCGCTGAGCTCAGTCGCAGAATCGTTTTCAGTGTCTGATGAGGAATTTCCCCCACGGTCCTTTTCCCCCACGAATTGCCTGCCCGTAGAGCTGCGCAGCAGTGCGATCTGTTTACCAGACATGTACCTCGGACATGGCCGATGACAGATCTGTGTACCAGTACCATGTAACCTGCTGTGATCAATCACAGCAGGTCACATGACAGTTGTATACAATGGATGGCTTCCTTTCATGCCATCCATTGTATACAAGTGTGTCTAGCTGTGAATGGTTGCAGCGATCACATGCACAAGCTGGGCCAATCACAGCCCATCTGTGTCATGTGATTAGACGTGGCCAAATCACAGCTAAGCACAAAAAAAAAAAAAAACCCTGAATGAATCGATGTCATTCAGGTTAATGCTTGCTTATAGCAAAGTAATTCTTTGCTATAAGCAAATTGTGTAAAAAAAAAATACCGATCACTTCCTCAAAGTAGTACAATGTTACTATGGTAATATTATACTACTTTGGTCATAGCGAAATATGAAAATAAATCTTAAAAAAAGAGAAAAAATGTAATAAAAAAATTAAAACAAATAAAAAAATAAAATTTAAAAAAAAAAAATTATAATTTTTTTTTTTCGTACTGTCACCAGTCAGTGTCCCTGATCACCGCCATGCCAGTTATATAAAGACGCTGTACTGCACTGGTCACAGTATGTAAAAAAAAAAAATAATGAAAATAATGTTTTTAATTTTTTCATTGTCCGAAAAATTATGACAAAAAAATACAACTTCAAAAAACTCGCCATGCCTCTTATGAAGTACGTCGGACTGTCTACTTTACAAAAAGGGGTCATTTGGGGGATATCTGTACTGTTCTGACATTTGGGGGATATCTGTACTGTTCTGACATTTGGGGGATATCTGTCCTGTTCTGACATTTGGGGGATATCTGTACTGTTCTGACATTTGGGGGATATCTGTCCTGTCCTGACAATTGGGGGATATCTGTACTGTTCTGACATTTGGGGGATATCTGTACTGTCCTGACATTTGGGGGATATCTGTAGT